GTCGGATCTACGCAGTACGACGGGTATCATTGCACCAAGGAAATAATAGGCGGGGAGGATTAGTTCACCAGGAATAATACCGGGGAGGATTAGTCAGCGGCAAGGAAATAATCGCAATCTCGGGATCAAGGCCAAGATTTGATCCGGAGTATGCCTGCGTAGATGAATGAGATCCGGTCCTCTCCGAACAACTGCTTATTTGGCGTTGACGGATCGGCCGAGCACGCAGATCTGGATGAACACAGTCCTGCGAAGTCCAAAGCTTGGATTCTTTTTAAGTTCTGAGTCTTGAATCCAGCAGGGCTTACCTCTCCAAATTTCCAACCCTTGAAAATGAACAATGCCTAGCCTATTTTATAGGCTTCCTTAGCTGTGCCCAGCGGCACGGAACAGTGTCGGCGAAACCTTGGGTGGCCGCAACTGGGCCGACCACCCATAAGTGGCTGCTCTTGTCGAGGCCACCATGGGGCTCGGCTTAGGCCGAGCCACCTATGGTGGCTCGCCATTGCTGAGCCCCCTTAGGCCGTTGTTTTCCGTCGGTTTTTTCCGTGTGTCCGTCATCTCGGTTCTGTCCGGATTCGGTGAATTTCTAGACTCTGATTTGGTTGATCGATTTGGCAGTAATCCGGATCGCTGATAGGGCAGTAAAATACCCAGCGTCTGAGTTCGAGTCAGCGAAACTGATCTTGATTTCGAGTCGTGATTCGTCCGAGTCTGCCCTTGTTGGATGACTCGTTGACTCTTCAACACTTGGCTTGACCAAGCACGGAATGGATGTATTCCGTGGCTGCGTGCGACTTCGGCCGACTCGTGCGCCTCGTTGGTTCGTCGGTTTGTGCCGAGCTGTGCTAAGGGACCTATAAGCAATTTTATATGGCCTACAATCTGCTGTGAATCATACTCTTCCTATTTCTTGTTTTGCTGCTGTATAACTTTGATCAAATTGAAGAAGTATTACATCGCCCAATCTATGAAGCTGGCTAAAATTTCGAATTTTAAAGCAACACCTCAATTATTAATTTAAGGAACAAAAGATGACAGACGAAAATCTGGATTCTGAGCCACAGGATAATCGGAAATGGAGGAAGCGCAAGGAAGGCAAGCTCAAGAGCTCGAGATGGATTGATCAGAGACATGGCATATGTGGAAAGAACCAGTGGGCTTTTTGCAGGCCCCATAGTTCTAAAGCTCCTCTGAGAGCCACAAGTGAACGTGTTTTGAGAGCAGAGGAAAGCGGCGCGAGGGTGAGGCCAATAGATAAAGAGGAGAGCATGATTCTTCCTCTTCATCATGAATCACGCCAGTAAAACTAGCTCTTGCTCTCGCAGGGTCGAGTGGCGCGGATCTGACGTTGGGTTGCAAACGTCGGAAAAAAGAGAACTGTTGGCGGCGACGGCGAGGGAGGGAAGCTGTCGTGTTGGGTCGAGTGCATCGGTGGGTGGCGGGAGCACAGGGGTTGGCGGCGGCGGTCGAGCCGACGGAGCTTGGTGCGAGCTTGAAGGAGCTGCGCGGAGACGGCGATGGAGGCGGCACGAGCAGTGGGCGGCGGGTTCTGGTACAGCGATGGGGAAGCGGCTGGAAGTAGAGTGGAGGCTGACCGAGGTTGGTTCGCGGGGGGAAGGAGACGGCAGCGGCGGTTCAATGGAGAGGGGAGTTCGGCTTGGCGGAGCTCAAGTGGAAGGAGGCGGCGCGGGAGCAGTGGATGGAACGGATGGGAGCTGCGGTTGGGGAGAGCGGAGTTTGGGGGCTGGAGAGGAGGAGAGGGGCGCATGCGGTGGCCACGACGTCAAGGTGCGTAGAATGGGCGTCGCTGAGGCGACGATGATGACGAGGGGAGGCAGCTGGGCGTCGGATTCGGGGACGATGATGAAAGGAAATGCGGAGGAGTCGGAGATTAGGGCAATAATAATCATCTTTGAAATTGAAGGGTTTTAAGATCGTGTATGAAGCCGTGGGCGGAGAGGAAGGCGTAACGCGACGGAAATCTAGGTCTTTGGATTTTACGGATGATAAGAGAAAATCTATTTAATGATTTTAAGGATAAGTTGGAAATATTATAAATTGTTGAAGGTTTTTGGGAGGAAGTTCATGACACTCCCTCTTTTAGAAGGCTAGATAGAAGATAGATGAGATAGATAGAATCATGGCAGTATAACTTAGACCTCCTCAAGCTCATCAAGTTTTGAGCCTTCACCGTTTCGACTGTTCGCGCATTTCTTCTGACCTGCACTTGACTTCTGTTGGCATCTAATCAAAAAATTTGCAACAATCGGCTACCGGTATTGCTTAAACTTCTCTCTAGAGTATATGTTACGTTTGAACAACATCTCAACTGAGGCTTGAAACTTGAACTATATAGAGTTTCCATATCCTTAGCAAAATTATTAAATCGTATTTAGTTCAAGTCAAAATTAACGGATCTCATGCTTTACAAATCATTCACTTCTCCCAATTACAGGCAAGGACACAAGCAGATATAATGAACAATCTCAGAGCCAACCTGATGCCTTCGTTAGATTTTGTGCTAGGTCAATAGGAGACAAAATATGAATCAAAAAAATCAACCCTCCAACAGATCTCCACTAGATATTCACGCCCGCTAGATATTTTCATGATGCAGCTACTTCTAGGGAAATCCATCGCCAAATTTAACAATACTTGCGGCAAGTCGACGATCCCTACTATATGTTGCACATTCTTACACCTAGTGTCAACATCTTCAAATGACGTCCGTTTTGGTCAATAGGAAATCCCCATGATCTCAACCTTGCGACAAGTTAACAAGATACCGCTGCCATTAGTGGTTGGCCTGCTATATTCAGCCATTAAAACCGAGGGGTACTGATTTGTCAACTCCGATTATATGTGGGTTGTTTTCACTAATATGGTGTTATGCTATTTGTTCAGTGCTCATACGCTAAAAAAGTTGCTCAGAGTAGCTTGAGTAAATCTAATATTGCGTAAACCATCTCAAACTGCATAAACGGGAATCATCTGTAAATAGAGACCATTAGCCCACAACCAAAGGGCTCTAAAATTCCAAAATTTTATCCAAGGCCTCATTACTTTGAGGTTTAGCTCTTCTCTCATCTACTTTGAATTCGCTCTTGCTCTAGGAGGTTTCTTGGGCTACCTTGGCTTTTGAGTTACATGCCTCTTTTTTTTATTTGGGCTTTTTCATCAGCATATCGCGTTTCTTCAAGATTTGCTCACTAAAGTTTCTAACCATCCAAGACTTGCCAAAACACTCGGGAGTGACTTCTCCCTTAGTTGGAGCTTCTCGAAGAGGTTTGCAAACAACCAAGTACGGAAAAAAAAATAACTTTTTGATCTTTGTCAATTGAGATATACTCTTCCTCCAAGACGCGAGCTTCACAAAGGGGCAACGTCGATACCTTCCATCTCATCGTATAGTCAACGGAGGTTTTCGATTATCCCTATTGCCACATGGTCAAAGATCCCAGCAAAATCAAAACAAGGAGTAAGGGCACTAAATCACTTCTCTGCTCGTTCGAATCCCAAGTTGTGAACGCCTCCATGACGATGACGATGCTTCATCTCCGCGATCGATTTGCATAGAAAATAGGGGTGACCCATGTGTATTGAGCTCGTACACAACATGCTCATGTGCGAATAGAAATATATGGCATTGTCCGCGCTAGTAGTTCATTGGTAGTTGTCGGCTTGTCACTATTCCCGGTATGGAGGTATTTTGGGAAAAGAGCAATTGTAGCTAGTAATGCTAATGTTGAAGACTTTCAAGAAGCTCTTTGTAGTTTTGAAGCAGCATCAGATTAAACAACAAAATTAGCAGTGGTATAAACGAAATGTAAACACTTCAGTCACAGTATAGCAGAAAGTATAGAAAAGTTAGGAACGGATGGGTGAAACAAAATTAGCAGCGGTATCAAAGACAAACATCAACAACAAAGGTTCTATCCACATTATCAACCAACTAAACTAAATGCTGAGCAGCGATAATGTTGAAGTACTTTCAAGAAGCTCTTTGTAATTTTGGAGCAGCAACAGATTAAGCAACAAAATTAGCTAGTGGTATAACGAATTGCAAACACTTCAATCACAGTATAGCAAGAAAGTATAGAAAGTAGAAACGATGGGTGAAACAAAATTAGCAGCGGTATCAAAGACAAACATCAACAACAAAGGTTCTATTCACATTATCAACCAACTAAATGCTGAGCCAGCTTCATGCCTCCTTCTTTTGCACGCTCTTAATCACTCCAACAGCAACCGTCTGCCTCGTGTCTCTAACGGCAAACCGACCCAGAGGAGGATACTCCGAGAAAGTCTCCACCACCATCGGCTTAGTTGGAACCATATCAACTAGCCCAGAATCGCCGCTCTTTAAAAACACGGGCTCCTTCTCGAGCTCCTTTCCGGATCGCCTATCAATCCTTGTCAGAATCTCTAAAAACTTGACAGCTATGTGCGCCGTGTGACAAGCCAACACCGGCGTGTACCCATTTTTAATCTGACCCGGGTGGTCCAAAACAATAATCTGGGAGGTGAAGCTAGTTGCTTCCTTTGCTGGGTCATTCTTAGAATTCGAAGCAACATAGCCTCTCTTGAGATCCTTCTCTGAAACGTTCTTGACGTTAAATCCAACAATACACCCAGGGTGAGCCACGTCCAAAGCTTTCTGGTGCATCTCGACAGACTTGACTTCAGTCGTGAGACAGGTGGGGCCAAAGGTGACAAACATACCGGATTTAAGGACTCCGGTTTCAACTCGGCCAACAGGGATGGTCCCGATACCGCCAATCTTGTAGACGTCCCGGAGGGGGAGACGTAGAGGCTTGTTGGTGGGGCGTTTTGGTTGGTTAATTTGGTCGAGGGCTTCCAGAAGGGTGGGGCCTTTGTACCAGAGTAGGTTGGCCGACCGCTCGATCAAGTTGTCACCATCAAAACCAGAGATGGGGACAAAGGGGATTACATCGGGGTTGTAGCCAACCTTTTTGAGGATGGAAGAGACTCCGTTAACGATGTCTTCATACCTGGCCCTCGAATACTTGGGGGTGGTAGCATCCATCTAAAAAAAAGTGTCGGCAAATTAAACAACAAATTAGGCAGCTGCGTATAAACGAATTGTAAACACTTCAGTCACAGTATAGCCAGAAAGTATAGAAAAGTAGGAACGATTGGTGAAACACCGAGCAGATTGGTAGAAAATCAAATTTAAAAACCGCAAACATGCAATAGCGCATCAAAAACAAAGGAACATAAGATAAAAGAACTTATCCATCAAAAGCGAATAATATTAACAACAATAATTGAATTGGTAATTTACTACATGCGAAATAAACAATGTAAGTCAACAGGGTATTACAGTTAAAAGTACACCAATAAAAGTTACCTTGTTACAGCAACAAATGATTTGCTTCACTCCCATGATGAAAGCAAGAAGAGCGTGCTCACGTGTCTGCCCATCCTTAGAGATGCCAACCTCAAAACCGCCAGCGCGTGGGTCAATAACAATACTGCACAGCTCAGCTTGAGAGTACCGGTAATCATGTTCTTGATGAAATCACGATGCCAGCGAGCATCAATAATAGTGCAGTCGTATGTGGTGGGTCTCAAACTTCCATAGAGCATTGTCAATGGTCAGCCTCTTTCCCTCTCGCCTTGAGCTTGTCAAGAACCCATGCATACTTGGATGACCTCTTGTTCATCTCAGAAGCTTCCTTCTCGAAACTCTCAATTTCACATTTGCTGACAGCTCCCAACTTGTAGATTAGATGACAGTGGGTGGTCGACTTGCCCGAGTCAACCGTGGCCAATGACCACAATGTTGATGTGAGTCTTTTCTTTACCCACAGTGCAAGCTGGAGATATGAAGCAAATACCATATGAGGCGCCGGTAAATGGTTAGGAAACAAACTGGAACGTATATTGCTGAGGATGAGGATTTGGCAATTGTACCTATGCTTAAGATGCTACGAAACACTTGTCATGCTACATATTATGTACATTAATCTATACTTGATCTCTACAATATACCCAAAGAAGTTTCGCTTATTTTAAGCCTAAAACATACAGAAAACATTTCAATGTGCTTTTATTTGCCAAACACGGTGGTTTCCTATAATAAAAAAAATAAAAAATAAAAAACCCGTAGAAAACATACTGGGAGGAAGATGCCTAATAATGCTTAAATGCCTAATCATACTAAAATCAAGAACACATCAAAAACATCAAAAGCAGATTATATTAGATCTATAACCCCTAAATAATGCCTAAAAACATACTACATTCAAGAAAATAAAGTTATGTACACCCCTAAATAATGCCTAAAAACATACTACATTCAAGAAAATAAAGTTATGTACAAACCACATTGCTTAGATTTCATCAATAAATCATGCTCAGAGCCACATCAAGAACAAAATAATGTGAAACGTGTAATCATACTAATGTCAATAGCACATCAAGCAACAAAATAATGCCTAAATGTCTAATCATACTAAACATATTAAAGTAACTTACATGCGAGAGAACATAGTACAAACACGAATTTCATTGGAGGTGCTACCCTTTGTAATATGCCTAAAATCATAATAAAATACACAAAAAAAAAAATTAAAGTGTTATTTTCCTGATGGAATTAAAATTATGCTCACTGGATTTCATATGCCTAAAATCATAGTAAAATAAAAAAATAAAAAAATAAAAAAAATACAATTAGAGTGCTAATTTCTTGAGGGCCTGTTTGGAAACTAGAATTTCATTTCAAATAGTGTATTTGGCCCAATTCTAGTGTTTGGATCCATAAGAATTTGAATACTGGATATTGGCCCATCAAATAGTGTATTTGGCCCAATTCTAGTGTTTGGATCCATAAGAATTTGAATACTGGATATTGGCCCAAATCCATTTAATAGTTTAAACCTATACTAAGCCCATAATTCTAAATCCCGATTGATAGACTATCATTTGTAATTCCCGTTTCTTCTCTCTCCACTTCCGCTCTCACAAATTCCCCCCGCTCTCGCGATTCCCCCCTCGCGATCTCTCAACCGGCGGTGGCTACGACGACGACGAGATCTCTCCCAGCCGCCATCTCCAACGGCAACGACCTCTCCCCCTTCATCCGCCGTGCCTTCGCCCAGTCCAAGCTCGAGGCCCTCCTCCACAACCTCCGTCTCTTCGCCCGATCCAAGGACTTCATTCGCGCCGTCGACGACCTCCACTCCCTCCTCTTCGAGGCCGAAACCCTAAAAAGCTCGATCTCCGACTTCAATTCCACTTCAACAATGTCTAGCCAATCTTAGCCCTTCATCGGCTCCTCAAACCCTAAGCCAAAGGTTTGTATTCGAGTTTTATGAATTGAATTTCCAATTTTGCAAATTAAGTTGGAAATTAGCTTGCGGACTGAGATTTTTTCCAATTTTCCCTCCTCCACAACCTCCGCTTGCTTGCCCGCATGCGCATCCATGCTCCTGTCCAAATGTTTAAGATGAAGTGTTCAATTTGATATTAACATCATCTGATGTAACCTATAACACCTGTGTATACAGGTAAAAAAACGTTTTTATCATTTTTTCTGTTCATGTATCAAGTGAACAGAGAGTGACGCTATACAGATTTCCAGTTGATGCTTGGGTTTGTCTTTTGAATTTTAAATGTGTATTCTTTTGATGGTTCTTGTGCTGGATCACAACAGATTAGTTTCAAACATGAATGTTATATTATGCACTATTATGAAGTATACATTCTGAATAACTTTTGCAATAAGATCCATTATAGATGTATTTTTTATGTCTTACATTTGGGTATATAACCATAAAGATCTTCTCTTGTGTTCCGTCATATGCTTGTGATTTCATCGTCTAATACGTAAATGATTTTTCAACAAATTATGGAATGTTATAAACTATATTGATGGAGGATTTGCAGAATCTCCCCTTGGACATGCAATTAGAACTAAAGCAATAACTCTTTAAGATACCAGTTTTAGGACATTAACTGTCGCTATGTCTAGATGGACTATTCTGAACTACCTATCTTTTGTAATTTATCTTTACACTCCAGTTGTCATCAGTTTTAAGCCACTTCTGCTACTATATATCAATTATCAAATAGACTACGTAGGAAAATTATCAAATTATTACTAACAACATTTTCTTTTGATTTTGAGGTGTTGAATTCATGGATCCTGCTTTACGAACAGATTCTCTAGAGCACTCAGATGCAAAGGCATCATTTCGCAAACCTGCACAGGATGCAGCTCACAGGAAGTACCGCCGCCATACACCTAATGGTCAATCAGACTCCTCTTCCTCTGGAGGTTAGCAGTTTTCTCTTCTGTTTTAGTGCATGTTTCTTTTTAATAGTGGAATACTTCAACAGTGGTAGAGTTTTTGGCACTGACACTCTTTTTCTTAATGCCTACAGTGCATGACATACAATTAATACAGACCATTAAGATGGCTGTACCCCCATGCTGCAAGCTTCTGGCAATTTGAATGCACAATATTGAAATTATTTATGAACACTTATATTTAATAAGAAAAACAACTAATGATTGATGCTCCATGCTTATCCTGTCACAGTCTTATACAAGTTCAGCCTATTAGTGGCCAAACTTCTACAAACACGACTTTACTAGAGTAAGAGCAAGTCGACATTGAATAAAGTTGAATTTCATAAACCTTCACTTTCAGCTAGTGAACAGTTAAAACTCTTTTTGTACTTTTATTTTTTGTGAGGACAACAGTTTATTCATTTCATTGTTTGCAATTTATACTATCTCGAATGTTACGCAAATGGAATTAGCTTTCACGATGGTGCACTGGTTAAAACATTTTATCCATTCCATGGTATGCAATTAAACTTGTCTCAAATGTTATGCAAATGTAATTAGATTCGAGGATAGCACATTGGTTAAAACATCTGTCAATATACCAATGTTTTAAATGTGATATAATGATTATAATAATTTTGAATTCCTAGAAATATCATCATGTTTGGGATTTTCTTTCTTGTTCATAGCTGTGATCTTAATATGTGCCAGTGCTTCTAGATGCCTATCGACTATATTGCAGTATTGGTTGCATTTCACATCCTGAACATGGGAAGTTCATGCTTATCATTCTCGAAGGTCATTCAAGTAGAAACTGAGAGTATATTTGGTCATATTCAATCATGAGGCTTTCATGTGGATACATGTTGTTTGCAACTTTGTGTGGTAGTCCTAGTTATTATGATACTTATATCAGACTCTTTTTGTTTGAGAATGTATTCTTCCTCTCTTTTCCTTTGCTATGCTTGGTAGTTTTGTTGGTGTCATGGTATTTACTCGTACTTCCTCAATGTAATTAGTGAATGCCTAGCAAGTGTGCATGTATATCCTCGCTATATGTTTTGGTTATTGATACGACAAATTTCATATTTTCAATGTGGCTTTTTTTCTTCAAACTTCGTTAATGGATGTGATTTGCTGTGAAAATTAGAATTGTTTGTTCAATGAAGTTTCTCTGACTTTAGAGATTTTCTACTAATATAATTTCCTTCTTTTTAAGGAAAACTGTGTGCAAATTTTGGGCCTATACATAGTACTTTAGTTTGGTTCATGTAAGAAATTAGAAGAATATCAAAAACTGTTTACGAGTCTGTAATAAAAGATAGCTATAGTGAGGGAGTTCCAGCCAAACAACGTACTGACTCGTGATCTTTCAACTCAAATATAGTCATTCTTTCATCTTTTTCAGCCAAAACTCGGAGACATTTTTAACTCGGAGTATTCTTGATATAGTCTTCAACTCGGAGTATTCTTCGTCGCCTGGAATCAGGTACATGGAGCTCTCTGCCCATGCATGAAATGGAGGGGAAAATATTTTTGGAAAAAAAGCGAACTGTTTAGGATATATATTTCAATTGATTTGAGTACTTTATTTCTGTTTTGCCAAGTACCTTTGATGATTTGAACTGTGTGATTGGTGAGTAAATCTTGGACCTTCATCATACCCCTCACTGATTAGTTCCCCCTTCTCATCAAAAACCTATAACAAATTGAAATAAGTTGCTATAGACTTTTGAATTTAGGAGAATTGGGCTCGTAGCAGAAAATAGAACTGACCTTGTTTGCAGAATTAAGTGTTAATCCTCTTTTAATTTGCCCATGAACTCTTGTTAGGCTCCTGTTGGTCCTTTTTGCTAGAACAACGAAATTTGGTGAACATAATCTGATTGCCATGGGTCAATCCTATGCGCCTAAGTTTGTGCATAAGAGACTTATAGATGGAATTGTTTGGATATACTACAAGTGGATTGTCCATTGCAAATAATAATTGATTAATTTGGAGTCTTGGGAAATATTAGTTTTGATCATTCGAGAGCCCTCAAGAACATGATTTCTTTTATGTTGCAAGTCTTCACGGTCTTTAAGAATGGAACTGATTTGGTCTTCTTGTTATTGTTTCAGGTGATTCAAGAACTTGCAAAGCAAGACTTTCTGAACGGAGGGGAGAAAACTATAAAAGAAATACAAAGTGAAAGTGTATAAGCATTAAAAAGAAACTCTCATTTGAATAAGATGTAAAAGTCTTAAAGAAACTAGTGTGAGAGCAACTTAAGTATGACAATATGTAACATCGAAATATTAAGTTTTGTGGGTTTGTATTTGTTGGATATTTTGCATCTCTAGTTTGTTGAATTGTTATATGTAATATTAGAAGTTTTTACTTTATTTATTGTTTTGGTTAGTGGTGGATGAGTTTACAAAGTTTTATTGATGAATGATTTTGGTTATTTTATGGTGATTATTAGGTCAACTATTGACATTACTGCTTATTTTAGTTTAGAAGTTAGAATTCTACTACTTGGCAAACAACTCAATTGAAATTTTTAAAATTGAAATTCTAAAGTTTGCCAAACATGAATTTCAAATTGAATTCTGGAATTCAAATTTGGATGTTTCCCAAACGAAGGAATTGAATTTGAAATTCTGGATTTTAAAATGTAGAATTCAATTCTGGAATTTGAAATCAAATCCTCGAATCCAAACGCAACCTGAGAGAATTAAAAGTATGCTCACAGGATTTCATCGGAGATTATAATTTGAAACCCTAATCATACTAAAATTCAAGAAATTAAAATGTCCACAGACAAAACGCATCAAGAACGAAATATTGTAGTTCGAAACCCTAGACAAACCCTAATCATACAAAAATTCATGAAATTAAACCAAGATTATGTTGAGAAGTCAGCCCACTAGAAGTCAGTCCAGTAGCTTACTATTTACCAGTTCAATTAGCTTTCTGTTATTGGATCCTATTTATAGGATCATTATGTGTTGTTTAATTCAGTTTACAGCCACAGACCACGTTAATAGGAGTGTAGAACGTGGGTGGTTACTCTCTTTCTTTTCTGTTCAGTTTGTAAGGCAATATATATGCCGACTATCTACTTTGAATGTATGTAGATTTCTCTTCTCCAAAATTGAGCGTGTTCTCTGAGTGTATGTCTCTAACAAATTCTGGTATCAGAGCCATCACAAGGGCCTGACCGAGAGTAAAAAGAGAAAAAGAGTGTCTGAAAGTGTTCAAAGTATGGCTACGGAAAGTAACTTTGTTCAACCTGCGATTCCTAAGTTTGATGGCCATTATGATCACTGGTCAATGCTTATGGAAAACTTCCTTCGGTCAAAGGAATATTGGAGTCTGGTGGAGGATGGAATTCCTGAGGCATCAGAAGGAGAAACATTGACCGAGGATCGGCGCAAGGTTTTAAATATCGATTATCGGGGATTTATCGGACGGCCAAAATCCTTATCGGATAGCAGAAATCGGGGATATATCGTGGATAAGTAGTATTTATCGGAGTGATATACTGGATGATGTGTATATATAATATAACAATTAAAAAATGTAATCTAATCATGCTTAATGAAATATAAACATACCAAAATGTAAATCATGTTTAGAATCACTAACAAATTGTAGAAAACGAAACTTGCATCATAGCCTTGAAAATATATAATGTTAGTCAAAATGGACCGATAATCCCGATAATCCCGATAAAAAAGTCTTACTTATCGGCCAATAAGTGCCGACAACGCCGATAAATCGCCGATAAACCTATAAAAACGATAACCGATTAAAAATCCAATTTATCCTAGCGGAGAGCTCCCAAAATCCGATAACTCGGCCGATAATATCGATTATCGGCCGATATTTAAAACAGTGGATCGGCGCAAGCAACTAGAGGATCAGAAATTGTGAGATTTGAAGGTGAAGAATTATTTGTTTTAGGCTATAGATCGGCAGGTTATGGAGACTATTCTTGTCAAGGATACTTCGAAACAAATCTGGGAAACAAATCTGGGACTCGATGAAGCAAAAATATCAGGGCACAACAAGGGTGAAACGAGCACAATTGCAAGCCTTAAGAAGAGAATTTGAGGTTTTGCAGATGAAAGGAGTAGATGAGTATTTTGCTCGTACTCTTACCATTGCCAACAAGATGAAGGTAAATGGTGAGAAGATGAATCAAACAGTTATCATTGAGAAAATTTTGAGGTCTATGACTTCAAAATTTGATTATGTCGTTTGTTCAGTGGAAGAATCTAATGATTTGGACACTTTAACAATCGACGAGTTACAAAGTAGCTTGTTGGTGCATGAGCAAAGGATGAATGGACATAGAAGTGGAGAAGAGCAGGTTCTCAAAGTCTCGTATGAGGATAGAGTTGGTGGTAGAGGAAGAGGACGTGGAGGCTAAATGAGGATAGAGTTGGTGGTAGAGGAAGAGGACGTGGAGGCTACAAAGGAAGAGGCCGAGGAAGAGGAAGGCAATCTTTCAACAAAGCAACTGTGGAGTGTTACAACTGCCATCAACTAGGTCACTTTCAGTATGAGTGTCCTAGTCGCGAAAGGAATGCAAATTATGTTGAAGTGGAGAATGAGGATGAGATGTTGTTAATGTCGTATGTTGAGATTAAGAATTCAAGCAGTAAGGATATGTGGTTCCTCGACTCTGGATGTAGTAATCATATGAGTGGACACAAAAAATGGTTCTCATGCCTTGATGAGAGTTTTAGGCATTCTGTAAGACTGGGGAACAACACTAAGTTGGCAGCCACTGGAAAAGGAAGTATAAGGATGAAAGTTGGTGGGATCATACAGGTGATTACAGAAGTGTTTTACATACCAAAGTTAGCGAATAACCTGCTTAGCATCGGGCAACTTCAAGAAAAGGGCCTTGCTGTTTTAATTCAGGGAGGAATGTGTAAGCTGTATCATCCAAGTAGAGGTTTGATCATGCAGACTTCAATGTCTGCAAACAGGATGTTTGCACTGCTAGCTACTGCACAACCTGGTGACTCTACTTGTCTTCAAGTAGCTTCAGATGATGTGTCACACTTATGGCACTGCAGGTTTGGTCACTTAAATTTCAAGAGCTTGAGAACGCTACAATATAAGAATATGGTGAAGGGTATGCCTGTATGCAAAACCCCGGGAAAAATTTGTACTGATTGTTTAGTTGGAAAGCAACACCGAAAGAGTATACCAAAGAAGAGCTTCTGGAGGGCTTCCCAAAGGCTGCAGTTAGTCCATGCTGATATTTGTGGGCCGATCAAACCAATATCCAGCAGTAAAAAGAGGTATTTTATTAGCTTCATTGATGATTTTAGCAGAAAAGCTTGGATTTATTTCTTGTGTGAAAAATCAGAGGCATTTGGTGTGTTTAAAATATTCAAGCAACTTGTTGAGAAAGAAAATGGGGAATTCATAAAATGTTTGCGCACGGATAGGGGAGGTGAATTTCTATCTACAGAGTTCACCCAATTCTGTGAAATTAATGGCATCAAAAGACAATTGACAGCAGCTTATACACCGCAGCAGAATGGGGTTGCTGAGCGAAAAAACCGAACTATAATGAATATGGTTCGAAGTATGTTGTCTGAGAAAAAGGTTCCTAAATTGTTTTGGCCAGAAGCTGTGAAATGGAGTGTGCATGTGTTGAATCGCAGTCCAACTTTAGCCTTGAAGAATGTGACCCCAGAAGAAGCTTGGAGCGGTATCAAGCCTACTGTGGATTATTTTCGGGTGTTTGGATGTGTTGCTCATGTACATGTTCCAGACAACAAGAGAACTAAATTAGATGATAAGAGTCTCCCATGTGTATTGTTAGGAAGGAGTGAAGAATCAAAGGCTTATAGGCTTTATGACCCTGCTGCTAAACGTATTGTGGTTAGCAAAGATGTCGATTTTGAAGAGAATGAGTGCTGGAACTGGGAAAGAAGCACAAAAGAAGTGAGTCTTGATGTTTTAGCATGAGGAGATAATGATGAAGAAGATGAATAGAGTGATGAAGAGAGTGAGCATGAAGTAGAAGGTGGAGCTGGTTCATTATCCCATGAATCCTCTGATGGTAATTCACCCAGCTCAGATGAGGGGAGGGTTAGAAGACGACCTGCTTGGTTGGAAGACTATGTTAGTGGTGAAGGCTTAGGTCTTTCAGAGGATGAAGATGGTGTTATGTTTGCTGCTGTCACCCCCATCACATTTCATGATACTGTAAAAAGTCCAAAATGGAAGGAAGCCATGGATTTGGAAATTGAAGCAATCGAAAGGAATGGGACATGGGAGTTGACGACTTTACCTGCTGAAGCAAAAACCATTGGTGTGAAATGGGTGTTTAAAACTAAGCTCAATGAGCATGGAGTTGTAGACAAGTATAAAGCTCGTTTGGTGGCTAAAGGATATGCACAAGAGCATGGAATTGATTTTAATGAGGTGTTTGCTCCAGTTGCAAGATGGGACACTATCAGAATCATAATAGCTTTGGCTGCTCAAAGGGGTTGGAATATCTTTCAACTAGATGTGAAAAGTGCCTTCTTGCAGGGTGAGCTGACTGAAGAAGTTTATGTTGATCAGCCTCAAGGTTATGAAAGAAAAGGGGAGGAAGACAAAGTCTACAAGCTAAGAAAAGCGCTCTATGGTCTTAAGCAGGCTCCAAGGGCATGGTACAGTCGGATTGAATCCTATTTTGTGAAGGAGGGCTTTGAAAAATGCAGCTTTGAACACACACTGTTTATTAAATCTGGTGTAGGAGGTAATTCTTATTGTTAGTGTGTATGTTGATGATCTTATCTTTACTGGTAATGATGTGGAGATGTTTGTGAAATTCAAAAACTCTATGATGCATGAGTTTGAAATGACTGATCTTGGAAGGATGAGATACTTTCTTGGAGTTGAAGTTCTGCAGAATGAAGATGGGATCTACATCTGTCAAAAGAAGTATGCTCGAGATGTGCTAGAAAGGCTTGGGTTGGCAAATAGCAACTCAATCAAGAATCCTATTGTACCTGGGTTCAAACTGATGAAAGATGAAAATGGAGCTAAGGTTGATGCCACTGCTTTCAAGCAAATAGTTGGGAGCCTTATGTATTTGACTGTGACAAGGCCAGACTTGATGTATGTTGTCTGTTTGATTAGTAGATATATGGGAAGTCCCACCGAGTTGCATTTACAAGCAGCAAAGAGAGTGCTTCGATATGTGAAAGGGACTACAGATTTGGGTATTTTTTACAAGAAGGGTGAAGATGGAATTCTGCTGGGCTACACTGACAGCGACTATGTGGGTGACTTAGATGATCGTAGAAGCACTTTTGGCTATATTTTCAAGCTTGGAACTGGAGCTGTAGCTTGGTCCTCAAAGAAGGAACCAGTTGTAACCTTATCCACCACTGAAGCAGAGTATGTGGCTGCTGCTTTGTGTGCTTGTCAGGGAGTTTGGATGAGAAGAGTACTGGAGAAACTTGGTCACATTCAAAACAAGAGTACTACAGTGTTCTGTGATAATTGCTCAACCATCAAGCTGTCAAAGAACACTGTGCTACATGGAAGGAGCAAACATATTGATGTAAGGTTCCACTTTCTTCGTGATCTTGTTAAAGATGGAACTCTGGAACTTGTTCACTGTGCTACAGAGAATCAAGTTGCTGATATTATGACCAAGCCATTGAAGCTTGATGCGTTCCTAAGGCTTCGAGAGCAGCTCGGTGTATGTGCAGTACCAGATGTAAACTGATTGCAAACTGCAAATCAGTTAAGGGGAGGAAATTGTTGAGAAGTCAGCCCACTAGAAGTCAGTCCAGTAGCTTACTATTTACCAGTTCAATTAGCTTTCTGTTATTGGATCCTATTTATAGGATCATTATGTGTTGTTTAATTCAGTTTACAGCCACAGACCACGTTAATAGGAGTGTAGAACGTGGGTGGTTACTCTCTTTCTTTTCTGTTCAGTTTGTAAGGCAATATATATGCCGACTATCTACTTTGAATGTATGTAGATTTCTCTTCTCCAAAATTGAGCGTGTTCTCTGAGTGTATGTCTCTAACAGATTAACGCACACAGATAAAAGAAAATGTCAAGAATTAAATTATATACCTAAATCACGGCGATGATTAAACTCACGATGGTGGATCTCCCTATCAACTTCATCAGCAAAAACACTGCAGCATTTGCCAATGCCGCACGCCACCTTATGAAGACGATGAATTCGGTTGTTGTGTTCTTCAAATCCCTCTTTGGTGAAGTATATAGGCTTGCCCTTCCTCCAGCAAGGATCGCAGAGATTGCGACCACACGCTTTGAATAAGGGGGGGATCTTGGGCTCTCGGTCGAAGAGTACGTCGAGGTCGTAGGTTTTGGGAAAAGAATCCATTGAGATCGCCGACGACGGCTGCTGGGAGTTGAGATCAACGACGACGGCTGCTTCGATTTGATGATCGATCTCTAAGCTTGGCCGCCTACGAGCTTTGATCGATCTGCCAAGTTTGGAGTTAGGGTTTCAAGAGAGGGTTTTGGGGGAGAAGAGGGAATAAGGTCCAGAGACTAAATCTCGCTCATTTGCGTGAGCTCGTAACCAGCGGGGCATTGTGCGGACGCTGGGCCTTGTATTTGGGCCTGGTGACCAGTGCTGTTTCAAGTTGGGCAGTGACATTTGTGGGCCGAGCAAAGGCCTGGCTTACTTATCTCTTGGAGGAGTGCAGGGCACCGCACGAGGCTGTTTTCACGGAGCAGATTATCTCCAAATCCAGTCAGAAACGACACCGAAACTTAGACAAATAATTATTCGATCAACACCACTAAATGACGACCTCGCTTTAATTGGAGCTTCTTTTCTCAACTCACAAGAACCATGTTCATTTTAATTAATTTATTTTTTTATATCATATCATACTTCTTTTAAAAACACGAGTTCGGGAAAATCTTTCGGTAGAAAAAAATACCCTTGAATTATTAACTCCATTTAAAAACACGAGTTCGGAAAAATCTTTCGGTAGACAAAAATACCATTGAATTAATTCAAATACTAATCCATTAAATAAGAGTAAGTTGATAAATTGATAAATTCCTATTGGATATACGTAGTATGAAGATAGAGATATAGTTTAAATTAAAATGTAAACATGAATAAAATTATTAAATGCCAACTTTACAAATGTATACAAGATGAAGGGTGTATATGAAAAAACCAAACAAATCAATGAGACAAAAAATGTCTGCCCCAAAGGTCGAACCTAGAAACAACACAGATCTATAAATGTACATAATATGGATGAGATATTTGCAAAATCCACCAAACATATTAAAGAGACGAGAGTCGTTCTCAAAATTATAAAAAAGAAAAATTAAAATAAACAGCTACGATCTGAAGACACAACATGGCGATCTCTCACCGATTAAACTGCAAGTAGTTCACGGTAGTGCATAATGAGTTTTAAAGTTTAATTATACTATTATTATTTAAATAGAACTCTATTTACAATTGTTATTCTCTCACATGCAACAACACATGCTAATATATATATAAGCCAAAAAATTACAATAATTTTCATAGCACTTTCATCTCATTCTAAAGATATGTGCCTTTGTTATTTTCTTCTTATTAGATTGATTGGATTATTTTAAGGCAATTAATTATATTTTGTATTTAATTTTTTTTCATATTAAGAAATAACAATAATTTTCACAACACTTTCATCTATTTTCTTCTTTTTAGATTAGACTAGATTATTTTAAAGCAATTAATTATATCGTATGTTTGATCTTTTTTTATATCAGAAATTGCAACAATTTTCATAACACTTTTATCTCCTTCAACAGGTATGTGTCTTTGTTATTTTCTTCTTATTAGATTAGATTGTTTAAAAATTATGAATTATGAAATTGTAATAATTTTTAAATCACTTTAATCTATTTTCTTCTTATTAGGTTAGATCATATTATTTTAAAGCAATTAATTATATTATATATTTAATCTTTTTTTAGATCACAAAGTTTAATTATATTTTTATTATTTAAAAGATACTATTTGTATAAAAGTCAAAGAGAAGCTCACACGTATTTTAGATCTCAATGCCAATTGTAATACTTACATATTAGTGTTGGTTAAAAAAATTTCATGCATTGGCTTAACTTATATGATCCTACTTTAACCGGATTAGATAATTTATTTTTTTCACCTAAACTCTTCCACAAAGCCAAAAGAGAATAGTAATGATATAACTATATATATCCACAAGACTACATATATCTTGAAAATGAATGAAGAAAACAACACAAACAAAAACCATATTAATTACCCCACACACTCACTGTTTTCCAAACCACACTTCTCCATCTCCATCTATAATATATCCACATACCCAAATTAAGCTGTTGGAGTTTCCCACTCACCAACTACATCATTAATCAATCCTTTTTTTTCTTTGTACTTAAAATTATATAACATTCATTGCGATGAGGACTCATTTGGGTCCTTTGCCTACCTTGAATGTCCAATAAAAAAATAATGTACTAGACCTTGTAGTTAGTTAATAATGAAATCCTATCATTATAAACAGATTAAGAAAAGATTAATAATTCTTAAGGTAATGCATTCTCCTAGCTTTCATTGCAAACTAGGTTGTTGTTTACTCCTGACCCCAAGAGATTTTCAAAATTAATCTTGAGGGTTGTTTGCATTAAAAAAGTTCTGTTAGAGGGCTCATACAGTCTGTTTTATAGTTTAAGATCGTCAACATATTTTGTCTCCGATACATATCAATTATGAGTAATAATATAACTTGATTGATTTAAGTATATCCTAATATATTTTTGGACTCTTGTATTGTCTTTTGCTCTTTATTATATATTAACCTGATATCACAATTGATATAGATGATGAAAACACTATTGTAGAATTACCCAAGAAAAAGACAAAAGTGGAGAATGATTGATTTCGACTCAATTAAATATGAAAAAAGAAGGAACAAAGGATAATATTTTTTGAATATTTTATAGTACTTAATTTTTTGAGTAAAATTAGGAATCTTCAGAAGGGATTTTGATGCAAAATTTTTAATATGCTTATGTGAATGATTTTGTCATATAAAATTATACTAGAGTCACCAGTAATATTTAGTATTTATTTATTTATTTTAAGTTTATCAATAATTAAGATGTCTTGTAGTATTGTGAAAAGTACGTACACTACGCTGCGCTTATACAAACCATCTTAATATTAAGTATTTAGTTATATTTTATTAACACATTTTTTTTCAAACTTAAACACTACATTTAATGACTAAGATAAACAAATTGGAGATCGACGATTTGATCCGATAAACAAATATGTTACATGAAGTTTGATATATACAAATTTAAAAAAATAATGTTGTGTATGCAAGTATATAAAAGTATATTGATCCTAGTTTTACATGTAAATCTATTTCATAAAATTAAAAAAATATGTAGATAAAATTTATGGCAAATGTTATAATCCATGTTTAAAGATTAACTCAAGATGAATCTAACTTATTTTATAGCAAGAAAATAAACAAAAAATAAATAATTTTGATATTTAATTAAGTATACATATCTAATTTTGTTTTAATTGGAAAATTAGTTTTAGTTCTCTACCGAATGGCTAGTAAACTCGTTCTATCATAATTAGGAAAAATTGATAAATTTAATGACAGTAATTATGATATGTGACATAGAAAAATAGGATATGCTCTTATTCATGACAGTATCGATGATGTAATCGAAACCACTTCTCCAACCTTTACTGATAAATCTACACCTGAAGAAAAGAAAGGGTTTGAACAGTGAAAATCGAAAGATAAAAAGGCAAAAAGCCTAATGCTCATGTTCATAGAAGATAACCTAATCAAAGTTTTTGAAACTTATAAGACTTCCATAGACATGTAAAATGCTATAAAAGAGAAATATGTCACCGCCTCTGAAGTTAATATTCAACTCCTCTTGCATAAATATAATTCTTGTCGTATGCAAGAGGGAGACAATGTCGTAGAGCATATAAATAAGATGATTGTCATAGCTAAGGACTTGTCCATTGCTGGGATCGAAATCCTGAAAAGAATGCAAGTGACAACCATTTTGAATAGTCTACCACATTTTCTTGCTGTGGCTGCCACCACATTAAACAAAGTGACAACCATTTTGAATAGTCTACCACATTTTCTTGCTGTGGCTGCCACCACATTAAACATGAACCCTACCATTAAATCTGTCATTGATCTTCTTTTGCACCTAGCAATAGAACATGACTTAATAGCTAGTAGGAAATAAGCAGAACTGAATATGGTGCAACAAGTGCTGAATTATGTCCGCCAGAAGCATAATGCTGGAAGCTATAAAATCCCTAGTCCTAGTAAACCACAATCGCGAGGACCGAAATCGCAGCGGTTCAAGAGAAAGAAGTACCCCGCGGAGCCTGCTACAATTGTGGATCAGGCATTTCAAGACCACTTGCCCGCAAGGTGAAAAACAGGAGAATAAATGAGGCTATAAGCATCCAGAACAAGGGGTTACTAGCAAAAGATAATTCATCGGTGTGACGGAATGCAATGTTATGATGACAGATATCAACAGTTGGTGGATCGACTTCGGTGCGACCAGACATATCGCAAAGGACAAGAGTGGGGTCACAGAATTCACCGAGCTGAAGAAAGGAGAACAGAGAATCTATAAGAGAAATAATACCTATCTCGATGTAGAAGGTATTAGTTCGTATAGATTGGATCTTGGGGACAATATTCTTGTCCTCAAAGATGTGTTCTATGCACCAGGAATTCGGCGTAATTTGATCTCTGTTCCTAGCTTGATGAAAAAAGGACTGGAAGTTAAGTTCTACAATAACCGAGTTTCTATAGGCAAAAATAATAAAGTGTATGCTATGGAAAAATATATGCCCGAGCATGAATTATGCATTCTTCTAGTAGTTTGTAATAATTCTAATAATAAAAATTTGAATTTAAACTACTTGTCCTGTTATATTTCAGAGTCTGAATTGTGTCATTCTAGACTAGGACATGCTAGTATTTTAAAAATAAAAGAAATTATCAGAATGAACTTACTTCCTGCACTATCTAATGTTCAATTGCCATCATGTGAATATTGTTTAACTGGTAAAATAACTAAAAAACCTTTGGCGAACAAAGAGCCAATGACCTTTTAGGGTTAATACACTCGGATATTTGTGGTCCCCTAAATATCAAAACTCATAGTAATAAAAAATAATTTTATTACTTTCATAGATAATTATTCCAAGTTTGCACATGTCTATCTTATATCTAGAAAATTAGAAGCTTTTGACTGCTTTAAGAGATATAAGACAGAAGTTAAAAACCAACTTGAAATGAAAATCAAAATTTCGAGAACTGATAGAGGTGGAGAATATAACTCTAAAGAATTTGAGAGTTAATGTATGCAACATAGAATTAAAAGGCATACAACAATGCCATATACGCCACAACAAAATGGTGTTGCCGAAAGAAAGAACAGAACATTATTGAATATAGTTAGATGCATATTGTCTCATTCTGGTCTCTCTAAAAACTTTTAGGGAGAAGCATTATTAACTGCAAACTATATTTTAAATAGAATTCTAACCAAATCAGTTGTATCTACACCTTATGAATTAAGGAATGGAAGGAAGCCTAATCTGAGTCATCTCAGAAAATGGAGATCTATCATCCATGTTCTCATTCTGCATCAATTTAGAGATAAGTTAGATTTTAAAACAGTAAAGTGTAGATTCATAGGGTATTCAGAAAAGTCCGCATCAATTTAGAGATAAGTTAGATTTTAAAACAGTAAAGTGTAGATTCATAGGGTATTCAGAAAAGTCAAAAAGTTATAAGTTCTACAATAAATTTTAAAACAGTAAAGTGTAGATTCATAGGGTATTCAGAAAAGTCAAAAAGTTATAAGTTCTACAATAAAAAAAATAGGTTATTGAAAGTAGAGATGCTACATTTCTAGAGAATCTAGAGAAAGAGGAACAAGTTCGAGAGGAAACAAAACCTCTATCTGTAATAGATGATGATTATTACGGTGTTGTTCCCACTAATGATCCTGACATTGTGAATGAACCTAACCTTGTAAATGATAAAATACCTATGAAAAATAATGTACCTCATCAACTGGTTGTAGGTAACAAAAGGCTAAGAACACAACCTTCATGAATGGATGATTACTATTTGTATTCATGTGAGCCATCCTCTTTCTCGGTAGATACAAATATAGAAGAACAAGATCCCTTAATCTTCTCTGATGCGATGAAATCGCATGAATCAACTCTATGGCTAAAATCCATGAGAGAATAACTTGATTCTATAGAAAAGAATAAGATACGAGAGTTATGTGATCTACCGGAAAATAGAAAAGCTATATGATGCAAATGGATGCTTAAAAACAAATATCGTGTTGATGGATCTATTGATAAATTCAAAGCACGGTTAGTTGCCAAGAGTTACAACCAGAAGGCAGGAATAGATTTTCATGAGATGTATTCTCTTGTAGCTAAATTTGCATCCATTAGAATTATTTTGGCTATTATTACATATCTTGATTTGTAGTTATTCCAAATGAATGTTAAAACTACATTCCTTAACGGAGAGTTAAAGTAAGCGATATATGTGCAACAACCCAAAGGTTTTCAGTGAAAGGACAAGAACATAAAGTTTACAAATTAATAAAATCTCTATACCATTTAAAACAATCTTCTAGAATATGGTATCTCAAACTTCATGATGCAGTCACTAAACTTGGTTTTATTCAAAATAAATTAGATAATTGTGTATATGTCTTGAAAAGTGGGAACAAGTTTACTATATTATCCTTATATGCGGATGATATATTGCTCGCTGAAAATAGCATGGAAATGTTGAATAAAACCAAGACAGATCTCAGCGAAAAGTTTAAGATGAAAGGCATGGGAGATGCATCATATATTCTTAGAGTTTAAATAATTCGAGATAGAAAGTCTAGAATGCTAAGTTTAAACCAAGAAAAATATTTAAAACCAGTTCTTAAAAGGTTTGGAAAGGAGAATTACAATCCGGCGCCAACTCAGTTGGTCATGGGAAAGAGATTATGTAAATAACAAAGCCCTAGAGAGGGGAAATAGCCATTAGATGTTTATTATGCTCAAGCAATTGGAAGCTTGATGTATGCAATATTGTGCACCATACCTGATATAGCTTATGTCGTAACTCTAGTCAGTCGTTATCAAAGTAATCCTGGACTAGCACATTGGGAAGCTATTAAAAGGATTATGAAGTATATCAGAGGTACATCGACTCAAAGATTAGTTTATCAAGCCGATTCACTTGATCTTCTCGGTTACTCCGATGCTAATTTCGAAGGTGATAAAGATGATGGAAAGTCCACTTCAGGACAATTGTTCATCTTTAGAGGAGTAGTTTCTTGGAGTAGCAAGAAACAAGGGTGTATTGCTAGATATATACAAGAAGCTGAATATATAGCTTGCATATGGTAACTACACATGCTATCTGGATAAGACGATTTTTGATTGATCTAGATCTCAATTTGTTAGAAGGACCTATTTATATTTATTGTGGCGCGAATAGCCCCAAAGGAAAACACATTAAGATCCAGTATCACTATATTTGAGATATTATGGAAAATGGAGAAGTCAAAGTGATTCATATCCCTACTATAGATATGATTGCTGATCATTTGACAAAAGGAATACTAGTGAATTTTTTTATCAAACATGTAAGTTTGATGAGACATAAGAATAAATAAGTCAAAGTAAAATTCCATGAATAATGAAATTAGAGTTACTCTTTATGAATAGTGGGAGTAATGGTAAGGAGAAACATCTGATCTCACGGATAGTAGGAGACACATCACTTGGTTAATTTGGTCAAGTGGGAGATGTTATCTTGACTCGGTCTTGTGTGACCAAATCAACGTTTCTTAATTGAGAAAAACGTGTTAAATGAGGTTGTTGAGAAAAAAAATCTCTCAGTGGCAGTTTTGAGGGGGTGGAGATGATGGGTTCGGCCCCTATAAAAGGAGGAGTGTTCTCCTTGAGAAAACAACACCACAAAATCAAAAAACCCCTTACCTATTACCAGAGTCCCCTCAAAAATTCATTGTTCTTTCCCTCTTCTCAACAACCTCATTTAACACGTTTTTCTTAATTAAGAAACATTAATTTGGTCACACAAGACCGAGTTAAGATAACATTGAGGAGAAACGAGAATAGAATTTGGTTAGAAAAAGAGGGTTTGGGTTTCGTCTTGATGATGATGAAGACGATAAAAAGTTGTTGATTATGATCCTGAGGTGAAAAAGGAGCACATATGTTGTACTCTCAGCCTCATTTAAATATAATACGGGCATAGTCTTAAGTTTGACTCTCGGTGAAATCATTTTTCTTTTCTTCTTTTTCCTTTTTTTGTGTAGTTTTTTTCTTTTTCCCCCTTTTTTGTCTAGTTTTACGCTCGGATAAATCCTTTTTCTTTTCTTTTCTGTTTTTTTCCTTTTCTTATAAACCTAAAAGGTTTGGAAAGTTACTTGGCTAACAAATTCAAAGTTCTGCCCCGTTATAAAAAAATCACTTTAAAAATTCACCTTAGACCCAAAATAACTTACTCAATTATTTTTAAACCTAATTTGTACTTAAACCAACCCAATTTCAAAACATGGATTTTTTCCACCTATAAGCTTACAGTTTCACCATTTATTCTTAAACTTCATCCATTTCAAGAAATCACATCATGTAGACACAATTCCTCCTTTGAATTATTATTTAAATCTATTTTGCATTTCAGCAGTTCGGCATATTACTAAATTTTGTTCAAAATGATTTAGATATATGATATGTTTTTAAACAAAATGATTGCTTAACTATTATCTTTTCGTCTTCTTTCACACTAACGTTGCAGCATTAAACGAGTCAGTTTTGCTCGTTGCACACTTCAAAATTTACAACTTCGTTGATACGTTTACATTAAGGATTTCTAGCGACAGTCGCGAAACGTGACTGTTGCTATCACTTGCTCTAAGAGGGTGACATGTGTCCAACCCCAAACCAAACTCTACCACCAAGCCTACACCCAACCCTACACCCAATTGATTCCCAGCGTTTTCTGCACGAGTGCCAAAGAACAATCACCAAACGGCGAGTGCCCTTAGACTTCTTCGTTTACATTTGATTGTTTGGTTGATATGTTTACACTGCACTTACAATTTAGCCTGTAAGAGTGATGGTTTGTTGATTTGGAATTCATTTTCTTAAAGACGATGATTTGAAGGGTATTTTTGTAAACATTTAGATGCGGGGAATAGGTTTCCAGATATGCATGATTTATGGGGTCATTGCAAGTTTTACACATCATGAAGACTTCAGCAACAAGGATCAAATATTTGATGACTGAAAGCTAGTTTGGTATTGCTATTTTTGATGTGATTCTAGTTATTTTTTCAAGAAGCACGCGATAATAATGTCTAGTGAAAACAATTTTTCCGGGCTTATTGAAATTACTTCTTCTTTTAAAGGTGTACTTTTATAAGCAATTTAAATATAATTTTAAGCAGCTACTTCTTTTAAGATGGTACTTTTAGAAGCAACTTGAGCATGCCTCTAAAAGCTGCTTCTGTTTTTTATAATTTACATATCATATGTACTTTTTATCTTTTAACAAGCTACTAAACACCTTAGCTGCCTCTTAAGCAATTTTTTATATTTGATTACCAAACCGCTAGTTTCAGCATCTTACATAAATTGCTTCTATAAGCTGATTTTATAAACAACTTATTGTAAGCTCTAGCAATACTAGATTGACCCAGAATAGTCCCATTAAAAATTTTATGGACTAAGCAAAGCAGTGGCCTTTTTCTTAGCAAAGGTCGACTAAATACTAGACAAAAAGCAGACACTAGCTACCGCCATACATATTTCCACTGCTAAATGAAAGCTCCAAAAATTGCATTTGAACTATCTGGACATTTTTTTTGCTGTTCAAGGTTAAATT